ATAAACTTGGCAGTTGAATCCTGCTAGGAGTTAAGCTTTTTCCATATGCCCTAGTTTTCCTGAAAATAAGAAAGCAAAATGTTCATCTGTTTTTCACATCCTTTCCTCCATTTGTTTGGCAGGAGTTTGTGATGAGAGGAGACACAATGAGCCAAATGCATCCCTGGAACTGCAGAGGTCACACCAGGCCTCATATTGGCTCACTGAATTTCTATAAATATCCATCCATCCTTTGATTATTTTTTTCCTCCCTGCAATCACATACCATTTCCTTTCATAAAATGTGTGGCTGCATATAATTTTTAAGATTATTTTTGCTTGGCATACAAATGAACATTTCAGTTCAAGCAAAGTGCAGGATTGGTAGGCTACTCCTCTCCCATGACATGGATGAGACAGTGGCTGCTCAGGATACTGGATATGCAAATATACTCTGGAAAAATCTGCTGGTATTAATGTGAAGATAATGCAGATGGGTGTAATTTTAATTGCACATTTAAGCACATTTAATATTTCCAATAATTCTTACAAAAATAATTTTAAATGCATTTACTTAAAATAAAAAACAGAATGGGGGCAGAAGAGCACACAGGCAGTGGAACATTTTATGTAAATCATACCCTCTTTTCCTGGGACATTGTTATGAAATCCTATTTCAGCTCAAATCAGCATGAGATTTACGAGCAAACTTTGAGTTTGGGTTTCACCTGTGCTGTTCAACTCACTCAGCATGTAAAGAACCTGTTCTCAGCAAAGCCAAGTGACACTGAAGAGGTGGGGATTTTTACTGTCCCAGTGATAGGCATGTCCTTGCAAATGGGATACAGAACAGGGCCTTGATTGTGAGGCTGGGAACTCAAAGCCATGATCTCTTCTCTAACACAAAATCTTTCACAGAATTGTTAGAATGGGCAGTTATTCTCACAAAAGTTTACATTAAAGGACAAATGGTTTTCTTATCTGAGCAATCTGTCACAGATTGCCAACATCTGCTTTATTTGATGACTGACATGAGTTTGAGCACAATATTTCTTCTGCATTTCTCAGATGATCACTGGTAATTCTGGCTGAACTCTAGCGAGTTATATCTATTTTGTTATTTTAAAATTTAAATTATTAAATAGCAGTGGGAAGTTTGGTGTTTTGGTATCATATAGGATTTCATTAGAATTTTGAGCTCATTTACTTTGGCTTCTGTCTGTGTGTGGAGGTCTAAAAAAGAACCAAAATCTACATTAAGGTGACTAAGAATAGAAACTGTGACTCAAAATGCTTTGAGATTAATTGATATTAGTTGGAATGAGAGTAAGGACTATTTTTAAATGAAAGGAAAAGGAGAAATATTAGGCTAGAGTAAGTCATTAATCATCAAAATGACTTTCCAGTATGAAATCATTAGCCAGACCTAGAACAAGGACAAGGTTCAAAATGAGATCTATGTCCCAATTTACTATGGATCACACTGTGAGGTCTGCAGCCCCAGCTCTGAGTTGTGCATTCAGTCCTAACTTAGCATGGTAGCCTGCCAGATCATATACTTCTGTTCTGACTGCCCTGATCATGGATTGCCAGTAATGACAATTCCATTTTGCAAACAAAGTTTTTGAGGATTTCTGAATTGGGGTGGTGGTGGTGAGGCACTTTGGTTTGGGGTTTTTTTTGTCTGGTTTTATTTGTTAGTTGTTGATTTGGCTTGGGTTTTTTTTTCTGTTCCAAAAGCTTGTGATAAAAATTTTAACTTCAGCTCTTGGACATGGGGGCTTATATCTATGCTCTGTTTGATTTGGAACCAGAATTTAAACCAAATCAACCATAACTGGGCTGTTTTTGTTCTAAATTCTGATCTACTCATCTTTTAATCTTCTCTGCTGAAGCTGTCCTTTGTGTGTGAAAGTAGCCACAGCTCTGTAGAGAGAGAAGTGGGGTATCTGATGGCTGAGAAATCTCTTTCTGTCTTTCCTACTTGGAAATTTAAATGGAAAATCCATCTCAGGTTTAAGGAAAATTTTCTCAGAACCTATACCTTCCCAATTAAATGGCTTGGCACTGGATAATAAAAATTCCCACCAAATGATATTTCAGGGTCTGCTGTTAAATTGGTGGTTATGAATATCACAAAGTTTCTGATTTTACCATCAATTTTTCTGTAAACTGGACTCCAGCAGCACTTCACTTCTGAGGTGAAGTAAGAATTCCCCATGGAGACCTCATTTTAGTGTGAACAAAGTTGCAGGATCTGGCTTCTGTCTTCCCCATGACTTAATTTACTGGTCTGCCAAATAAAAAGAGCTGTGAATCTGAAAAATATTGACATCCTAAAAATCAAAACTGTACAGGGAAGATCTGAAGAGCCACCTTTGCACAAAGTACTAATCCTGTAAAATCGCCAAAGCTAAGATTTCATCCTTACACATAACTACATTCACTGCTGTCTTTAAAATAATAGATATGTTTCTTGAAAAGGGACTTCTGTAGAGAAAGTTAGTTGCTATTTGGTTTCCTTAAAAACTCCTTTTGCCATTGTCTCTGCAGTCCTCCCTTTTGCCAAATTGTCCTCTGAAGTCCAACAATTGTGGGGCCTTCATATCCCCATTTAGAGCTGCTGCTGTTGAGCACATGCTTGGGAGTGCAGTTTGGAGCAGCTCAGGAAATAAAAACCTCTCTTCAGAGCTGGCAGTGTCCAACATCAAAGCTATAAATACTTATTTGTCTCTCCTTTCTTTCTCTCATTCCACTTTTCCAGTGAAAACAGTGTCACTACCTGGTGTTACCTTAAGTATGCTCAGAGCTCCTACAGAACTCTAAAATCCTTGTTTGGGTATTTCTGTGCATTTTTCACTTCCCTCTGGTCCCTTCTGACCCAAATCATTCTATGGTTCTGTTATTCTATGATTCTGTGATTGTATGATCATGATTCTATGATTCTATGATCAGAGTTTGAGGGAGGAGACAGAAATACTCTCCTGATATTTCTCATCCAGCTGCCATCTAGATGTTTCCCCATTGTCTTTCCTGCTGTCCTGTGCATTTATGTATGTGCCTCTTTTCCCTCTTAACCTTAGCGGGTTTTTTCTCATCCTCATGTTTTCTTTCTCATCAACCAGAAATACTGAAAGCAGACTATGAAATTGTAGGGTTTTGTACCACTTTATGTCTCTGTATATAACCAAGTACAGTCATACAAATCATTTCAATCAAATCAATTCTTATTTATGAGATTAGTCTGGACTGTGACCTTAACAGTTTTCACCTCTAGAAACATGAGGACTAAGAACAAAATCTCATTTAGGGGGAAACTCCCAGTCCCAGCTTGCTTGTTTTAGCTTCACAGCTAAGTTCACCTCTGCTATGGAGTCCCTAAATGGGTAGATTTGTCTCTTCATTGCACCTCAACTAATTTCATGTCCTCTAATCTAACCAAAAGTGAGTCTTCTTTGCCAAGAAAATTGCCTGTTTAAGTATATCTTACCTTTGCTGCAATACTGACACTAGAAATTGCTGTTATGTACTGGGCCAAGCAAATTATTTTTAAGGCAAAATTATTAAACTATGATCTTGCTTAATCCTTCTATAAATATTTGGAGAAGAAAAATATGCTTTAATGTTGTTTCAGTTCTGCATTTTTTTGGTGAATAATCTGTGAATAATTCACTTTCCAGATGCAAAGTATTACTGAGGTATTATGATAAGACTAAGGAAAACACAACCCAAGATGTATTTCATTTAGAGGGCTGTGTGCTTTTCAAAACAGAGGCTTTGGTGCCACCACTCATAAAATGTAAAGCAGTCATCTTGTTTTTAGACCACCTGCCCATAATGGTGGCGGAACATTCCTTGTTCCTTTGGAAGCAGTATCAGGGTCACACTAGTCCTGCTGCATTTCATGTCCAAAGATAAAATAGTTTCAGTTGTGCTACCTTTTGACAAATGCCACTGCAGATGAAATCTTGTTGAGTGGATCTGGGATTTGTTTATTCTTGCCTCACAGACATCTGTTCCTTGTCCCAGGTCCCCTGATGCTGTCTGCCTTCATGCAGTATTAAACCAAGTCGATAAGACCTTTGTCCAAATGTGGGGATATGGAAAATGCAATTGGACCAGCCAGAAATATCTCCCCCTGAGCTGTGGTTCAAAGCTATGTGTAGAACATAGTTTAGTTATAATTTTATTAGTAGAAGTTGGCCACTGTTTTTCTGCAGGACTTGACAATGTTGAAATCTTTGCAATTAGGTCCTGCAAGTCTTACCTGGCCAGTCTTGTCTCTGGCCAGGTTATGAGATATAAGTACTATGTGGAGCTATGCAGCAGTTGTTCTTTCTTAAATCTTATCTAGGGGATTATTTCAAGCTGTTTTGACTTGTCTGCCATATAAAACTTGGGATGAACAGAGTGTATGAACCAAACCCACCCAGCCAGCAGAGAAATTAGATTAAAACTATGTCTAAGAAAAATCTTCATAAACATCTCCTGTTACATCTTTTCTTATCCAGAATCCTGGCCACAATGAAGTCAATGGAAAAACTCCAGTTGCTGCTAAGAAAGGCCAGAATTTTATTCCAAGTCTGTAAAATAAGCCACAATTAACCTTCCGTTGTGGCTGCCAGAATCCATGTCACCACTTGCTTCCACTTTCAGAATGTAATTTGAGTGAAAATCTGTCCAAAACTTAAGAGGCATTTAAGGAATAGCCAAGTGACTTTCTCCCTCTATCACTCTCTCTTATACACCCAGTTAATTTAAAAAACGTGCCCTAACGCCTTCCACAGTTTCCTTTTGTAATAAATGTTAAAGACTCTGCACTAACATAATGGAAAATTCTCCTTGTTATTGCTTGCTCTTCATTTATGTTTTGGATTGAAGTCCTACAGCTCACTACATTATAATTAATGGTCATTAATTATTTACAACTTTGCTTTATTCTCTGAAGTAATTTATATCCCTTTCTTCCACAAATAAATAACTGATGGTTTTAATTACCTTTCTGTAAATATTTGGTTTAGCTCAGGTCAGGAGTTCCTCCTGGATGTTCAGTATGCATTTGGGCTACCCTTTTACCCGAAGTATGAAGTACAATTTACCGAAGAAGAAAAGGGCCTTTCCTTGAAAATTATGCAGTATATCTCCAATTTCATAAACTCTGGGTAAGTGTGAGATATTTAAGAATTGTGACTGGGGAGATGGTGAGAAATAGAGGGAGTGTTGTCAGTCCAGATCTTACCCTCTCTTAATCGTTCTCCATTTACTCTGCAGTTTGTAAGCCTACAGTGGGATTTGGTCCACACTGTTGGAAAGCCATGGCCAAATTACCAACCAGAGCAGACACCAAAGGTTTAGAGTATGAGACTTAGCTAGGAGGAATAGACATTTTATCTCCATTGACCAGCTGCAAATTCTACTAAAGTACATGCAGACTTCAAAGACCTTGGTCTTGTCTCCAGAGCTTAGTTCTAGGACCCCAATTCTTAAACTTCTTGGCTAAGAATTCTCTTTTTCCCCATAAGAAAAGGGAAAGCTCAAGAAGACACAGTGCACCTTTTGCCAATTACTCTGTGAACATCATTCTATGCTACTGTGCTGTGGCCATGCTTAAGAATGAGAAATATCTCTGGAAACCAAGTGGGAATGGTGGGAACACTGATTTAATGTGCTTTTTCCAGTGTCTTGGGTTGGGCTGGGATTGAGGGCTGTTGAGGGTGTTCATGAACCTGTGTCTGTGTACCTGTTCTTAGGAAGTGAACCAGACTAAAAAGGTGCTGTCAGATGAGGCACCGTGAATGATTCACCAGTCTGGACTGAATTTGAAACCCGCTGGTCAGAGGGACTAGACAGTTCCCTGACCTAGCCAATCTTCTTATCATTTTACTGTTCATGTCATTCTTCTCTAATGATAATGTCTCCCACTCCCTTAGAAATCCAAACTACCTGCACAGTTTCTCAAGAAGAATGTTGGGGGTGATGCCTGCCTGGCCTATGTATCTGTCAAGTGATGATGGTGATAACTACAAGGAATTCACTGCTTCTTTGCCGACACTTAAAGGACTGAAAAAAGCCGATTGTTCCTTTTGGTCTGATTATATCAAAAGACTGAAAGCATCCACAGGTGAGAAGAGTGTTTTCTGACATTAAAAATCCTAAATTCTCTGCTAAATGTTTTTGTCTGACTATACTGCTGTTATGTCGCTGTGGAAAAACACTTTTTGCAAAGTAAACATCTTGCAGTGTCCAGAATGTACCATTAAACAAAATTACTTTATAGCAGATAATTAAAGTTTAATTGTCCTGGAGTTTAACTAGCTAGAGAAATGTTCTTGTTATGGTGGTAGAAGATGTGATGAAACCATAAAGAGAGCTTGCTCCCTATTTACAGTCATAATATAGACTTTGGGTAAACTTGAATGCTGTGTTTATAGGCCTCCTTTGTATACTGGAAACACCTAACATGAGAATGTTGAGACTCCTATGGATTAGGAGGAGCACAAATCATTTCCATCCACTGTAAAATTGCAGCTGAGGCTTTATATCTTATTATGGTTCCTGCATGCTTTGACTTCTCACTAGATTAGTTTATTCAACTTTTTTAATAGCTGTGGTGATTATACCTCTTGCATGTGTCCTTTTATGTTTGCCATAAATTTTAATGCAGCTATGAGAGTCCTTCAATTTTTTTCTTACTGCTTAGGACAGTAAAACCAACTCTCCATAGATTTCAATCTGCTGCCTGTCCTGAATTTATTCTAGTAAATAAACTCCCCTTCATATCTGTGTATCTTGTAAATAAATATGGATAGCCTCAAGCAAAGCAAACAAAACCATCCCTTTTTGGCAGGCAGAGATGTTTTGAATTGTTCTTGGAGGCCTGCAAGTTTTGCATGTGTTTTCTATGTCCTAAGGATTCATCTTCACAGTGAATACAGTTCAGGCTTGCTCTGCTGTGGGGGCTGTTGAATTTCTGAGAACAAAATGTACTTTCCAAGACACAGAGCTACCCAGGCTATCTGTGCCTGACAGGAGACCTCAGATGGGCTGAAGCTGATGTTTGAGTGACTCAAAACTAAAACATCTCAGAACCATCAAGCTGGTGGTTCTGATGCAAACACAGAGCATCAATTCTCTCATTCAATAGACAACCTCAATCTTTACTCATGGTCTTTCTTCCAAAGTAGAGTCAAGATTTTTTTGTCAGCCTTTTCATCAGTTTCTTGGTATCCCTCAATGTCTTTCAGGGTCAGAGGGGATACTTTGATCTCTCCAATGGCTTTGTGCTGGTTGAGATATTGCTAATTTTCACAGCTTTATTCTGAGGTTTAAATAGTTCTGGAAATAACTCCTATATCTTTTTGAACCTCATCTCACAGCACTGTGGCTGTGTAATGCCTGACTGGGCTGAAGTCACAGCTCTGGTAGAGTGACTGCTGACCAAGCACCACGGACAGAGACTATTCCTAGCACCTATGGAAATTCCCCAAAAAGTGGGAAAATATCCACCAGGGCATATTGTTTCTGACATAGACAAGATTTAAAACTATCCAAACCAGCATAGTAACACAAAATTCATGTATGGGTTAGTCCAATGATCTGTCTAGTTCAATATCCTGCTCTTGTCCTTGGCCAAAGCCAAATACTTGAATGTTAAACATAAAAATACAGGGAGCAAGAGAAAAACATACTTGAAGAGTTCACAAGGTTGAGTAAAATATTTGAAAATAAGCCATAAAGTGTGAAATTTATGGAGTATGGATTGTCAAGAAAATATTTTAAAAGTACATGTCAAAAGTACATGTTAACTTTCAAGCAGAACTGAATACACCCAGCTGGATCTCTAAGCCAGTATTTGCTTGGCCTCAGCACCATGGTAATGCAGTTACAAAGCTGATTTCTACTAAATTCCATCTCACAGCAATGTTGGCTTGACACTTTGCTTTGATAGTAATTTTTAATCTGTTATCTCTCTTGAATACTAAACTTCTTCATACAATTTAAATAGATATCACATCAAACCCTTTTCTGCTACAGATCCCTTAGCCTGGGATAGTAACTTACAGAGACACATCCTGTGAGTCTCTTGATAACAATCTGAGCTCAGGTCCTCATTAGAAAAGATTCATAATGTTCATCAGTTCAGTTTTAATGACTGCAAAAACCTCAGATGGTGATGGCTGAACACCCTTAATTTGTTTTTGAGAGGATGTTGTGCTGAAATTCATGCCAAAGCAGTGTCAGTCTACCAGTACAAGTTCATCACTTGCCTGGCTCCCAGAAATTAGATTCTGCAGGAATTGAGTCCCTATACATCATGTTTTTACCTCGTTGATATGTGTCCTTGCACATGAGGTAGTTTACTGTACCTCCCTTCAGAACTGAAGCCCTGCACCTCTGTTGTTCCCTGACTGCTCCAGCTTCTGCTCCTGGAGTCAGGGTGTCCTGTGGGACCTTGGCATATGCTGAACACCAGATTTGGGAGAACAATGCTGCAAACCATTTTTGGATGTTGTACCTTGTGCTCCTTCCTGAGGGGGATCTGTTTGTCTGTCAGCTACCCTGAGATCCAATCTAACACTCTTCTGCCTTTCAAAAATATAAATGTTCATGATTGCATTCTTGGATTGTTGTTGTGATTTGCAATTTGTGGCCTCATGCCAAGTAGATGGAATTTACAAGTGTGCCAGCAAGAGACATGGATAACAAAGCATTCCAGTCTTCACATCTAAGTACAAAGGTGTACAGGATCAAGTATGATGCAATCTCAACCAGCTGTGATGAATCCTCTTTTGTTCAGCTCATCTTTTCCTTGAAATCAATATTTTTCCAGCTTCATATACCGTCTGGAATCTATAAGAAAAAAATCCCCAATATATTTCAATAAAATGGAGAAGAGCTGGACAAACCAATGATCATAAAATATAGCTGGAACTAGCATTTTAAAAATTTTTCTCAATCCTTTGTATACATGGGAAATGTCTTGACTTGGAAATGTTAAATCAGGGATGACTAAAGGCTCAAAGCTCAATATCTCCATCCAACAGAAAACTGAGGTGTTCCTTGCTGTGGTTTAAGCTAAACTCATAAATTTCAGCTTCTGGAATAAAACCCCTCATGTTAAGAATCTGAGATGTCTTTTAGGTTATTCACTGCTGGATGTAGAAGCTGTTTATCTTAACTGTTACCTGTAATTTTCTTTCCATTTAGTAAAAAAAGTTGTCCAAGTTGGTGTTTCATTTTGTGATCAGACCAAAATATTTAATGATAGAATGTATCATTTGTCCCTGGCACATAACTGGAATATATGTTGTATTTGAAGATAATTTTTAAAAATCCTTGTAATAAATGCAATGATTCATCATAATGTTTGCTGGCAGTGCCGTCACAAACTATGGAGGGAACTTGGAATCTGTTTCACTACCAATGAACTAACAATCTCTTGAAGTTTGTTTGAGACCAGTTTGTAAAGTTGACATTTTGGGGAGCAGTTTGCTTGGGGAATTATGAAAGTGATGGTGCTTGAAGAGGTTTGGAGCTCCCATGGCTGCATTTCAAAGACATGCTTTATATTTTGAATTATGACGGTTTCCATTGGAAACATCAAACTGAGAAACAAGAAGAGTGGCAGTTGTGGAAAAAGGGAGCTGTGGACGGCTTTTTCCAGGGAATGTGTTAATAACTTGAAATTCAGTTCAAAACAGGAGCTCCAGAATGTTTATATATATTCAGACAGATGTCTGGATACTAACATTCCCGTTACATAGTGAGGTGGACTGTGTGTGTCTAACAGTGAGTCCCTTTGTAAGGGGCCTCTCACTGCATCCCAAACAGGTGGAGTTGGATCCAGTCTGCATCTCTTACTCCTCTAGCTGGTGTCTAAACAGAACCAGTCCTCCTAAAGCAAGTGCCTCTGTCAGCAGTCTTGCAGCTGGGGACAAAGAAAGACCTTTAGTGTCTCACAGTGAAATCTTGTCTGCCAAACTCATGTCCTAAATTTTGACTTTTAGGCCTATTTTCCATGCCCAAGTTAGCCAGATTGGACTATATCTGTAGAAAATTCAATAGGCAGCAAAGCTGGAGCCTTCTCCATGAGCTCTGGATGCCATGTAAGCCAAACAAGAGTCCAAAGTAAGAATGCTCAGAGTTCAGACTTGAATCAAAACTGAATCAGGAATGGTGTTGCTAACATTCATCTTTTATCCTTTCTAGTCACACCTTCTTTTTTGGAAATCTCAAATAGAAAACATTCCTTTAGTGTGAGGGACATCTATGCAGCAATGAGAGCACTCTGGCTATGAGACATTAAATAAACACCCTCAGTACACTTTCTTGATATAACTTGGTGGTGTTGAGGAAACTACATCACTGAAATAGGGTTGAAAACTGAAATCATAGACGTTAAAAATAACAAAGAAAAGATTTGTTGGAGATAGGTGTTTGGGGCTTTTTGTATTACAGACAGACAAAAAATTAAGCATCACTGAAATAGGCTTGAAAACTGAAATCACAGACGTTAAAAAATAACAAAGAAAAGATTTGTTGGAGATAGGTGTTTGGGGCTTTTTGTATTACAGACAGACAAAAAATTAATGTTGCCCACACTTCCTATCTGACAGGCAATTTTCAGGAGATAATAGAAAAATAAAATCTTGCATGAGTGGAGGAAAAACTCTTATGTATTCCAATGGCAGTTATTTAAAGGACAATACTTAATTACCATGAGGTGACCTACCATTACTCTAAAGCATTTTGCAAATGGATTGCCGACAGAAAAAAACCAGTTTCCTGAACATTTATAGCTGCATGAAAGGTTTTTAGGTGTGACTGACAAAATGTATACCTTGTAGCTTGTTGCCTCAATGATATGACATCTATTTTAATCTTAATTTATTGTCTTTTCAGGAAGTGCAAGTGGTGGAGAGCCCTCTGCCGAAAACAGCTCTGGTGAAACTCCAAGTGAAGTTACCTCCCTGGAGAGCCAGCCCCTGGGGGATGAGGTGGCTTACAGCAGATAGGGAATCACAGGGCTGTGGGGTGGCTTTGTCACACAATTGTGCTTCCACACAACCATCTCACACCAGATGAACAACACTTCCTTCAGTTAACTTTCTCAACAAGTCAATTAGACCTTTCAATAAAGTAGTTTTCAAGAAAATTTATTAACATGGCACAAAATATGCACTACATCTATTGTTTTAAGTCAATAGAGACTGTAATTTGAACAAATTAAAGTATCAATAAAAACTGAAAAACCAAACCAAATACATTTGGTCTTTATTTCTTGCAACTACACAAATGCCAGCATATTCCAGTACCACCAGCCAGAAAAGGACATACATTAAAACACTCAGAAGCCCCTCATTGATGAGGCTCAGATTTGTTAAATGTCAAATCTGTCTTGTTCTTTTTTATTACTCATCCTATCACAAGCTGCTGATAGGAGAGAGAGCCTGGTTTGGCATTCTGGAGAAAATTAAAGATGTCTAAAATAGGAAGGAAAAGCAATTAAGAAGGGAATCAAGAGTATGCATTGTGTGTTCACATGAAGTCATACACATGCTATATTCATGATCTCCTGTGAAATTATTTGAAGACTATTTGGATAAGGCAGAGTACACAGAAGAGATAATGCAAAGAATATGTTCATTAAAGCTTAGATCATGCCATCCCTGGGCCATCCATCTTTTTAAAGAAGAAGGTGAGCTACACAATTGTTTTAGAAGCATAAGGAAAATCATAGGATACCTCTAATGGCTCTGAAGGTATTTTGGATTAGGCTGTTAATTTATTGCTGGGATCATTTGGCACCAGACAGCCTTCAGTTGACAGTAGATCACACACATGACCATGAGACGTCACAAAAAGTAAAATCAAGGTAGCCCAGTAGGACACAAATTTCTTGTGCAGTGCTGAAACGATTTAGCAAAACAACTCATAAGGTTTTGTTTGCTGCTTGAGCCCTTTGACAGCACATGAGCTGTTACTGCTGTCTGCCATGTATCCAGGTTCCAAAGGTTCCGAGATAGAAGAAAAACCATGTAACATTCCTAGTTCTTATACTTGCATCCTGTTCAACAAACAGTAAAAACACTGGAAGAATCAAGAAGCTCGTTAACTGGTTAAATATAAAAAAGCAAATATGGAGAACTCAAACTCTGTTTTCCATCATTAGCTATACCTAAACTAGCTAACTGTAAAGGAAAAAAACCACAACCAAACAAAACAAAAACCAAAACTATTTAAGAGCTTTATAAAAAGCCCAGATATTAAACATCTATCTCAACAGAGGATGCTTTCTTTGCAGTAACCATAGATACAGCAGCTCTGATTCCTTGGGCAAGACTGGGCTTATTTTTGCCCTATTTGAGAACTAAATGTTGGTCACAGCAACTCCAGTATTATTCTGCTGCCCATAGAACTGGTAAACAGAGAATGGATTTAAAAGGATTCAGTATTGACTTATGTTAATGAAAGACAAATCTTTTCCCACTCACTATTCAGCTCCACCTTGAGTCCAGAGATGTCTCAGGAATTTGAGAAAAGATTTTCATTTTGAGCTAGGAATGCAACAACTTAGCCTTGTAGGCTCCTAATTACAGTCTTGGCAATCTGGTAGGACTGGTAGATGGACGGGTCTGACTGGGCTTTTTGGTCACCCCTCCTGAGATATCTTGCTTGACTGCCAATTTGGTAAAAGGGTCTCTTTAAGTATGGATTTTTTTGTAAAACATCTTTATTTCATTACTGACTGCCCCCCACACACCCTGTTATAGTGGATGCAGCTCTTTAGACTGTTCTGTCTCTCTCCAGGTTTCCTAGAACTGTCTTTTCTATAGCCCAGTGTTGGTTTCCTCCTTTAAAAAAGCATGAATATATTCTTCCCCAGTTCTCTGCACCTTCTTCTCTTATGAGTGAGTCCTGCTCACTCTCCATGCTCCTTTAAACTTGCTTCTGTCAAGGCACGTTTTGATGCCGACAAATGCAGTCTCAGATCCCTTGTGTTCCTGTAATTCCACCTTTCCTCATCTTCCCACATCTTCGTATCCTTAAACTAAAACATCTTTGAATTCTGAGACAACTTTTGCATCAGCACAAGAAATTGAGTCTTTTTGGCTGTGAGTCTCATCACCTTCCTGACTTTACTCCTCTTTCTAATTGGGAACCATGCTGTTAGAAATATCCTGGTCAAATCCAACAGGAGATTTAATTAGAAAAGCACACATGTGGACTGACTGACAGAGGTCAGGAAACTTTAGCCTTGGTGATACTGAGAGGCCAAGTCTGCTCCCACATATAATTCCTAGTAAGAAAAATACATTCCCAGACTATTTAGGTCATTGAGCTCTAAACTGAAATACCAAAGACAGCAGTGATCTGGTATTGAAGCAATGCACAGAAGCACAACTAGAGCCATGCTTTCCTTCTTCCTACTGGAAATGTCTATAATATTTTAGAAGTGTAGCATTCTTTAAAACTTACTATGAGCACACACACACACAGACAACTCAAGTTATTGCAATTTATTTAATCTGAACTTTTTGAAAGGCAAGCCATCAGAACCTTTCTGTATGTGTTGCTTTTAATACTTGAATATCTAACCTACAGCATTTTGTGTGATTTTTTCACACAGGAGAAATTAGGCAACAGAGAAAAAATGTGGAGTATTAGAAATATTTTACCATGCAGAGTTGGAAAGAAAACAGCTGACTTAATGGCAATGCTGGAACGTTGTTTGCATAAGTACTTGACACATAGAGCTGGAACATCACAGTTGTCATCCTGCTATTACCCACATCATGTAATTCCCTTGGCTAAAATTAAGGACTCAGTCTTTCACCATAGCAGCACCATAGTCAATGTTATATATTACATAAAGACTCACATTCTCTCTAACTTGCTCCAACTATGCTGCTCAACAGCAGTGGCTTGTGTAGTAGTAATTAGATATTTATGGACCATTGCTTCTCCCTGTATGAGGCTTAAAAAAAATAAACAAAGCAAAAGATCTTCCACATGGTTCTGTTTGGTCTTTGAAACACAGACACTGGCCTGGCTAGGATTTTTTATAAGTTTCAGGTGTGAGAGAATTTGTTTAATCGGAAGTGTGATAGCCATGGCTTTCAACTTTTTTCTACTTTTTCTTCTTTTTTTTATATGAGGCTGATCTGGCCCAAAGCTGAGGGTTGCTACTTCCTGCTCCTGCAGATGTGAATCCTCTAGCATGGCCTTTGGTCAGGATGATGTTTGCTCCTTCTCCTAGTTTTCCAGCTGCCCAGGGAAGACCCTTTGATTCCAGCACTGGCTAAAATTCAGTGAACCTCAGCTGAGAGCTCATGTGCCCTCAAAGACGATTAAGACAGTTTTGCATCAGGATTCTTGACAAATCTACTCACTCTTTGAGAGGCCAGTGTATGACTGGGTGTGGAGAATGCTGTGTTCCACAGCACAGATTTTGGATCATTACAAAAGCTATTATTTTCTTGTTTTAGGAGACCTCCTTTTCCTTCCTGTTGTTATTCCTCATATATTCTGCTATCATGGCAGGAGAGGCAATGCCTCAGGAGTTTATCTTTCCTGCTTCTTACACAATCTCTCTACAGGCAGTCTGGTGAGCACAAGTCACTCTAACTTTTAGTATCTTCTAGGCCTCTGATCAGAGTCAGATGGGACTGGATATTTTTGAACATTACAGCTGTTTTTCAAAGCTGACTAAGGAGCTCTATAAGTCAGATTCAACTAACCTGTAAGGAATTTGGATGCCCGGTTCCCATTATGGCTTTGGAAACCCCACCCAACATCTGTGCAATGGTCATTGCTCATTTAGGAGCCTTTTCCCTTTCATGATGAGTGGATGGCCACAGACAAAAGCACCATTGCAATTGGCAGCAGTTCATTGACTCACAAGGGGAGAATTTAACTTGTTGTTTAGCTTCCCTGGTTCAGACTGAGATCTTTAGCAAGACAGACCAAAAAAGCTTGCTTATCTTTGTTTCATCCAAATAAGACAGCAGTCAGTTTTCAGGGGCAGCCAGCATTTTCATGACCATTATTAGCATACAGGTACTGTCTCACACAGAGAAGTAATGCACACCTCCAAAGGGACTCACATATCCCTGTTTTAAATTCAGGAAAGAATTCAGAGTCAAAATCAGTTTACTGCAGCTTTTTATACATTCCACTAAAAGCAGTGATCTGCTCTGCACGTGCCAGCTTAAGTGAAGTGAGAGCCCAAGTTCAAGAACAAAGAGACTTGATGTTCTTCTACATTATGCAATCACAATTGCTCAGATATGTCAATTTTAAATAACAGAAGGATGATTTTTCAGTGAAAAGTCTTTTGTTTAAAATATTTTGGCTGGATACCTCAAAAACAGAATAGCTAGGCAAGGCAAGGATTTATTCTGGCTCTGAACAGTTTTCTCAGTACTTGTATGCTATACACAGGGAATACAACCATGAATTGATAGCTGCTCTTTGGAGTGACAATTCAAAAGTCAATGGCTGGATGCTGGCTACCTGGGAGATTCAACTCTAAAGTAAAGGCCATGTTAAGGCCTTTACTTAATTAACAACTAACTGCTTGGTTTATCATAGGAAGAGGCCAAAGCAGCACCATTTAACTTCAACATCTCAGATTAGCCTAAAGCGCAAAAAAATTCATGATGGGTGCTCATTCAAAATGCTACCTTGTAGGAGAGTAAGGTGTGGGGCAGTTGCAGGAGCCAGATTCTGTTTCACGGGGTGCAGATCAGCCTGGGGTGGTGACCAACAGCACTTGGTTCAGAAGTAGTAGAGCTGTTTCCAGCAGTGTTCACCAACGGGGAAAGATGGACTTCAACCTGACTCTTCCTTTCATCCCAAAAGGAAGCAGTCACTTCCCACCATGTCCTGAAGAGAGCCCTGTGTCATGTCCCTGTTCTCTCCAAATTCACAAAGCTATTTAGGCACCTAACTTAGCACCTTGGGAGCTAGCTAAGCCTAACACCTGCAGTCCTGCCCTTCGTTATTGTCCATAACTCCTACAAGATGTGGGTATGGAATTAGGCTTTCAAGAACAGCCAGAGTTGTGCCTGACAGCCTGGTTTCTGTGGCTGCAAAGCTCTGTTTTCTCACAGTTTCTGTTGCAGCCTCCCAAGCTGTCAGAACTTGTGGCTGCAAGACAAAGGTTGA